CTGTTTATAGAATTAAAGAGAATGTATTATCACATAAAAAATGAAGCAACTTAAACAACTTACATTGAAAGAAATGTTTAATAAAGTAAACAAATAAATATTAAGCTTTTTTTGTAAATTTTGATACCCTTTAGATCATAATTGTTCTTTATTTCATAAATTACGGTTTCATATTTTTAATTTTATCATTTCTGCATGCCATCTTACCAGATTTTAAACTGATGATCTATAATCTGGAAAAATCGATAATCCGGAATCGCCGAAGTCCCGGCAAGTCCGGATTAACGACTTTTGACTGTAGTACTATAGTGCAGAAATTAGTGTGAAAGAGATTTTTTTTAGACAGAATTTTAAGATGGTTGCCAGCCAGCAACAACAGGTCCCTCAAAGCAGTTTTATTTTCCTTAATCATCCAACTGTCGTCTTTCAACTACTAAGAATTACACAATAAATTAGAACCACTGCACCATTTTGAAGTTTGTTTCTATAAGAAGTTACTTTTGCATACTTTTTAAATATGTTTTGTATTCGTTCATTTTAGTGTACTAAAAATGGATATAACGCCTAGAAAGAGAGTAAGGATTATTGCACATAACAGTCACACATTCATGACTATAAGACAGGGATGTCAAACTCATAGGTACACTTGGGCCAAACAAACAAGGTTTAACTTTAGGCGAGCCCAAAAAAAAAAAAAAAAAAAAAAAAAAAAATCAATATTCATAGAAACGTATATTTATTTCGAATAATACAATAATAAACATATATATATATTTATATAGAAAATAACAAGAAAAATTTAATGTTTACGTCCTGATACTTGACATCTCTTCTCTGCTATTATCTTTCCCATTTCGGGAGAAATTTTGTTTGCAGTGATAACTTTCAACGCTGACCCAAAGTGAGCATCATTAATACGGTTTCTAATAGGAGACTAATTATCTTTCATGACTGAAAATAACTGCTCGCACCGATAAGTGCTACCAAACATGGAAATAATTTCATCTGCGAATTTTCGAGTATTTTCAAACCTGGCTGGTAAATATTTGTAAAATTCAGGCATGCCCACTTCAATGAATTTTGCTTTCAAATTTGAGTTGCATTGAATCTCGATCACCTCCATTTGCATATGGCTAGGTACTGAGTCAATACTTATTGAGAAAATCGAAGAAAACAAAAAAAAATTTGTCTTCGAGGGACTAAATCATTAAACCTCGTTTCAATTCAGTTGTTAAATTTGAATTTTTTCTGCGTATTTTTCATACGAACAAGTATCATCTAAACTTGATTTATTCTGCTGCTCGTCGGGAAGTGCGTCAAATCTTCATTTTTAAGTTCTTTTTCCCGAAGAACTAGTTGACATTTGAATGCTTTAATTTATGTCAAACATGTTCGTAATGATATGATTCTTCTCCTTGTAACGATAAATTTAAATCGGTTAAGTGTTTTGGTTATATCAACCAAGAAAGATAAATCTTGTATCCGATATTGGATCGTAAAACAAACTTACGTCTTGATTTTTCGTTTTTAAAAACTGGTATATTTCTTCTTTCAAATCCCTGGAATTGTTGTGAGAATCTTGGAGCAAGATAACCAACATACATCGGTATAGTAGGACAAACCACGAATATTCACTATCTAACTCACTTAAGAAAGCAGTGAATTGACGCTGATTTAAACTTCGAGATCTTATAAAATTTATAACTTTTTTTATATATGACAAAACATTCTCCGTATTTATTACTTTCGAGCATAGAACTTCTTGATGTATAATACAATGCATATGATGAATGTTTGAACCGTGAATTTCACTAAGTTTTTTTCTTAGTAATGCTACAAAGCCTTTGTTTTTCCCGGTCATTGATGGAGCACCATCTATAGCTACAGAATTTAGTTTTGCCAAAGGTAGATTGTATTTCTGCAGAAGTCCAAAAACACAAGTAAATATATCTTCTCCTGTGGTAGTACCAGGCATCGGTATTAGTTCCAGTAATTCCTCAAAAATGTTAAAATTCTTGTCACAAGAACGAAGAAACACTGCTAATTCAGCTTTACCATTAATGTCCGTGCTCTCGTCACAGGCAATGGAGAAACTTTCGAAACTAGATGATTTTGCTTTGATCTGATCACTTAAATTCGCGGCTAAATCAGTAACTCTTTCCGAAACTGTATTTCGAGACAATGAAATTGATTGAAAAGCCTTCACATTTCCAGGACAAACAATTTCTCCAGCTTTCATTAAGCATTCCTTGATGAAATCACCGTCAGTAAAAGGCTTCGAATGTTTAGCTATCAACTCGAACAAGACATAGCTTGCATGTACCGCCGCTTCACTTTCTTGCAATACTTTACTAAACATGGACTGTTGCTTTTTCACTCCTAACTTGAGCTCTTTCAACTTTTCTTCTCTCATTAATCCTTCATAATTGTTATATTTCGATTTGTGTTGTTCATAATGACGTTTAATATTATATAACTTTGGTACATTAATAGTATTATTCATATCAAGCAGATTATTTTATCTTTTATTTCAACAGCAAAATATTCTAAGTCCATTTTACTTGGAATATTCTATGTTCGTCAGCGACTTTTCGTTTAATTTTACTACCACTTGGGTTTTGATATAGAGATACTGAATACAAAGGGCTGGAATAAACACGGTTAACGTTAAAAGTTAACAAAAATTTATTCTTTTCACAAGAGATAAATCAAATGCTGAAATATTTCTTCAAAAATATTCTAACAATATCACAAAATGTCAAACGTTTAGCAAAATCAATTCCAAAACAGAGAAACTAATTCTATCTCACAGCAAAATCGCTACAAATAAATCACAGCATTAAGTAAACAAACAGTTCGCTAGAACTACAGCTACTACTGAGATGAGTTGTTTGTTCTCAGTTTTTATAAGCTTTATAATTAATTTTCTCGAATATACTGGAAACTCTATAAATATCTGGATTTTTGTGGATGGCAACAGCAATTACGAGATATTTATTATTAGGTTTAAATGGCCGCGCTGTTCTTTTTAACCTTCTAACGCAGCTGTCTTTTCAAAAATTGTCTGCGTTGCTAAGGCAACATGAAGCAATCTAATTACAATTCTAAATAAAAAAAAAACTAAATAAATAAATAACTATGAAATCTGTAACATATGAATTAAGTAATAATTAATAATAAAGCAAAGTGCATGCACATGCATGCACCAATCTATCGTAAAAACTATGATTGGAAAACTGAGACCATGAGTTTCGGCCACATTCGGCTATCGGGGATGTGTACAAGTTTCTGAGTGCACATGTCCCCCAAAAGCCGAAGGCAGCTGAACGCAAGCTACTCACACGCATTTGTAATTTAAGTAGTGTGTGTGTCAGCTCGCTGTGAGTAATCTAACAACACTAAATAAATTATCGTTAATTACTTAGCAGTAAACATTTCATTTTTTCCTTCGTCGATATGTTATTTTATTATTATATATTATTATTTGCCAATATATTGGCCGAGCCGCAAAAATATTCGTTGTGGGCCGCTAGTTTGACATCCTTGCTATAAGATATATTGCTTCTGTTAACATTGGGAAATCGAGAATTTCTCAAATTCTGAGGACATACTGGAACTGGATCATTTTCTCCAGAAAGGAAGAGATATTATAGCATTATTAATCCAGCAAATACCTTCAAAGAGATATGGTGTCTAATGGTATTGATATTCATCCTGCAAATGTGTGGTGTAGACTTCTCAGTGCTACGCGGGAGGTGAGAATGCTAATTAAAAAAAACAAGTTTTGATATATCACATGAAGCAAATATGATTATTGTGGGCCAAAATATACAAGTTTTGAACCATAAATGACTGTAAAAATGTCACTTTGAGTGATAAGACTCATTTATTTGTTCATGGTTGCACATCTAACATTGTTAGATGAAGAAAGGGTGAATCAATAAGACCATATCCGAAAAACCATAAAATAACCTCAAAAACGTATGTTTCGGCGTTTTTTTCACAGCAGATGGTACTGTGAGTATAGTTCCTGTTGATAGAATGATGAATTCATGGAAGTATATAGAAAATTTCATGGAAGTACATAGAAATTTTAAAACATATGATTATTGAATTCTAGAGAACCTTTGCAGGGACATTTCAACATGACTTCAATCCATGTCACAATGCAAAATCTGCCAGAAGGTTCACGATGGAAAATAAAAATATTGCGCTATATCGACCCAGAAATTCACCTAGCTTAAATCCAACTGACAAATTGTAGCATATTCTTGAAGAACATCTTGGTAAAATGGATTGTATGACAAAAGAGTGCATTATTAAGAACACTATAAAAGTGCGTTTCCATGACTAAGAAGTATTTAAAAAAAAAAAAGCATAAGAATCAATCTCTAAGCACATTCTAGAGGTCAGTTCTGCTAAAGGAGGACATACTTTCTATCAGTTTAATTATTATTCTTGTATATGAAAGTATGTACATAAATTACAAAAAATTCGCTTTGTTCTAATTAATTTGCAAATTTTACTACTTGAATAGTAATGGCATGCCATATTTATGAAATTTTATAATGAATCTATAAACCACAACTGAATTTCTAAATGTAGAAGCTCAGTGTTACCTCCACCTAAAATCAACACTCAAGATAGTTTTAAAAGGAATTTATTTGAATATTACAAACAAAATAATCTAATCTAACATCTCAGCAGCAGCATTTAAGATGCATCAAAATAAATGGAAAGAAGTTTCTATTTTACATTGTTGCCACTTGTCATTTTCTAAGTCAATGTGCTTTTCCTATTTTTTATGTTGCCATTCAAAGGGGCAGAAAACTGTCTGTTGAAATCTGCTTCACTAATAAACCACGATAATCTGACATTAGCAAGACACAGCACTCTAATTCATTACTATACTAAATTTCTCCCAAATACAGAATAATACAAAATAATTCAACTTAAAAAAGTAACACTTAAACTTTGATAGCAATCAGAGTTTTACTTACAAAATATACAATTACTTTTCTGAGCAATACTATTCATTTTCAGTGAGGTTATACTCCTTAAATTCTTCAACAAGATTTTCACATCTTGCTAGAAGACGATCATGATTTTGAATCATACTTTCAAAATAATTTTGATATTCTTTTAAGCCATCAAAACCCATTCCTTGAAAGGCCTCTTCCAATGACTATAAAAGAAATATTATTTTCTTTTAATAATTAGAGTAATTATAAAATTAGATATGAAACAGCAACTTAATTATATAATAAACTGATAAATTAATATTTAAAAATGCAGATACAGAAACTAGTAAAAATGTTTTATAATTGCTACTGGTTAAGAAAAGAAAAAAAAATTCAAGTTTATTAATTTTAAAAAACAAACATGGAAAAGGTTTTGAAGTTAGTATAGAGTGCCACCTATTGCAAAAACAGAAAACATTCACTTAGCCACTGGATTGAATTAAGGCACCATGCCAGAGGATGTCAATAGTACATTATTAGCTATTAGAATTAATAAAGTTTGTTTTATCTTATACAGTCCTTTAGCATAATAAACATGTTCATTTGGCCCTTAAACAAAAGTGTTTGTTAAAAGCCAAATGTTGGCAGAAGTAAAACAATGTTAAAGCGAAACTAACTAGATTAGAAAATGCAGTTAGTTACGGAATATGATGATAGTGTAAACAAAAATGAATTACACATAAGGAATAGAGCACTTCAAAACATTCAATTGAACATAAGACACATACATTTTGAAAGTGATGTCATAGCCATACAAAAAAGGTGTAATAGCCACTAATGAAGAAATCTTCCAAATGGAAGAAAGAACAGAAGTTTCGGAGGTAAAAATTATGGAAATTATCTATTGTACATTATGAACATGAAAGTGATTGCAGTAAATCTGATTCTAAAATACAGTTACATTTGCTAGAATTACCAATTCCTAAATTTTTAGGTAAATACACAAAATGGAATAATTTTTAAGTTGCAATTTGAAGACACTGTTGTGAATAATACTCAGTTAACAGAAGTTTTGAAGTTCTGTTATTTAAAGACTGCATTACTTGATTAAGCAAAATATCCTGAAACTGTTAATCATACTTTCAGTTCTCGATTTAAAACCCTTCCAAGATAGGTATGAAAATAAATTAATCTTAACTGAGGAAATGGATTTAAGGATATTAACTGCTGAATTGTAGAGGATAAGGTATGTAATAGATAATACTACTAAAAACTTAGACTTCAAATGTTCTAAAGTATGAGAAAAATAATTTATCGGACATTCTATTATTAAATATTGTACTCCAGAAGCTAGATTATGAGATGTACAAACAAACTGAACCAAGTATTAATGATACAGAAGTTCCTATGTTTGATGAATTAATTTGTTTTTAGACAAAAGATGTTATTAGATAACATTAACCATAATATTAGTAACGTGAAATATCCATTAGAAGAAACCTCAAAATCAAATGTTCTGATGGTTAAAACTAAAATGTTCAGACTTGTGTGATATACCAAAATAATAATAAACCCACTACAAAAATGTCATCCATTTTTAATTTTAAAATCAAAATCAAACATTTGAAATAATTCAAAACAATAAATTGTGTTTTAAAACGCCTTAGTAAAAAACATTTAATTGCAAAATGAAATTCTGATGCTCCAAATACATAAAAAGCATCATTCAATAATTCACTGCCTACTCAGCAATGGTGCAATTAATCAGCAGTTAGATAAAACAAAGGTGGAAACATGGGATGAAGAGATTATATACAAGAATGCAGATGGTTCTCAGAAAAATCAATTAAGTTGTCCTTTGACATGGAGAAAAATGTATTAGCTACTGCAATAGTATATATTTGTAATTCAGAAGGAAAAAAGAATTCCAGTTTGCGCTGTTTTAGATAATGGAAATATGTCATGCTGTATCATTGAAAAAGTTGCCAATTTGTTAAATATATGGAAAGAATGAATTTATGCAACCGCACTGGAATAAGCGAGAATGTTATAATTATTACTTATCAACTAGCCATACAGAATTCAAACAAGTATTTAACATATGACCAATTAATTGCTTAGTTATTTCTAAAATTACTAACAGTTCTAAATAGCAAAGAAGAACTTGGTAAAATTTTGCAAAGATTCTGGAAAGTCAAATGCACTGCAAGTATCACCAATGTTTTGAGTGAAGAAGAAGAATACTGTGAAAAACATTTCAAACATACACACTATCGATAATGTGATGGAAGATATGTAGCACAGTTACCCACTGGGGGAGGTTCGAAATTAGGAGAATCAAAAATGGTTACTGAGAAAAAATTACATCAAGTGTGAAATCAACTAGAAAGTAATTTGAATTTGAAAACCTTGTTTAAGAATTTTATCAAGGAATTAAAAATTTAAATCACAAGGAAGAAGTTCAAGAAAATGAAACATCATCCTGCAGTTATCTTAGTCATCACAGAGTTTATCATCTGCAGAAAACCTCTAACAAGCTTTGAGTTGTGTTTAATGCACCAGCGGCTACTATACTTAATTCAATATTAATGCAGGGAAGATTACCACAGAAATATTTATTTTCTACTATTGTTAAGATTTCGAAATGCTATGCACTAGGAGTGATGTTCAGAAGATGTAGCACAAATACTCGTCAGCCATCTCAAAGAAATCTGTAGTTGATCTTATGGAAAGAATTGATTGGTAGCTCTATGCACACTTATTGTCTGAACACTGTCACACATAGAGCAAGCGCACCATTCCTCGCAACAAGGGTCCTGAAGCAATTACGAATGGATGAAGCGACTGAATTCCCTTGTGCTTCAGGAGTCATACTGAAGAACTGTTGTGTGTTCTCACTGGAGCTTATAGGGTGCAAGAAGCCAGAGAGGTGCAGCCACAGTTAACCTGTCTTCTACAATGTGGTGGAATGCAGTTACACAAATGGTGTTCAAATAATACTGAACTATTGAAGAACAGAGAAAGTGCAACTCAGGATTATTCTTTTCTAGCTACTGTTAAGCCTCAGGTTACAAGAGCCTTGGGAATGTCATGGAGTATGGCTACACAGTTTTTCTTATAATTTAAAGGTACACTGCTAAAAAAAAAAAAAAAAAAAAAAAAAAAAAAAAAAAAGGGACAGTCCTATATCTCCCGATTGACAAAATTCAAATTGCGTTCTTCATGTCTCGAAAGCGCGACGTAGGATATATATTACATTTATAATACCACTATTCTAACATAGGTATTTTGACACAAAATAGGACTTTTTCTGAAATAACATACCAATTTTTTTACATATTTCGATTCTACTACTCAAATTACGCCTAAATATGAAATTTTGTAAAATTTGGAGCGAAATTTATGGAGAAATTCACAAATTTATGTTGGCACTTTTTTGTCAGTTTGCGCCAAGAATACTTCACTTGGCGAACTTCTTAATATATGGCAACCTAGTTTCCTTTCCCGTGAGAGGAAAAAAAGTCACCATCGTTCCTTTTTTCCAAATAATATTCCTTATTATTATATTTTTAATTATAACTTATTATTTTAAGTAATTTTTTCTTTGAATAACTGTTTTAAAAATTTCTATTTACCTATTCGAACTGCGTAAATAAAGGTGCAGCGTTTATTGTTTTTCAAATAGTTTTCTTTATATATATTTTTCATCATAGTTATTATTTTAGGTAATTTTTAAATTTTTATACTTTTATTTTAATTGTTTGTGTTGCATTGTCTCTGTCTCTTCAGATAATTGTTTTAAAATTTTCTATTTATTCCTTCGAACTGAGCATTTTAAATATATTTATTAATATCAATTTTCCAGAATTTGATTTTATTTATTTGAACTGCGTTTCTTTCGGAAGAATACTTTGTAACCCAGACTACGATCAGTTTGAAAACTGCATACTATATTAAAAGAGAAAATACAGTAAAGCACAGTTTTACACGCCTTTCAATGTTCCGTTCAGTAAAGATATATATAAATAAGAGAGACGTATAACCGACATTTTTAACTTAGGATGACTTGCATACACTGCTTTAAACAGTTTTATCATTGTGCCCATTGCTTTAGACAATTTTATCCTACATTTGGTTTCTTAAAATGTTATTCATATTTTAGTCAAATATTTTATTTTTGAAATCGCAAGAATCAAATATAATAAGATTGAAAAGTTTTTAATTAAAAAAAAGTACAAATACTAAATTTTACGAAAAAATTTATTTTTCTTCTCTTTTTCATTAAGCATTCTGAAAGCATATTAAAAAGTATCCAACTTTTTGAAACATTTTGGTATTTCTGACAATCATTTTAAATAAAGTTATCGCCTTCCATTTCATAAAGGCCCACAAACGGCCGAGCGGTAAAGACGCTGATCACTGGTAGTTCGGTCCGAGGTTCGAATCCCACGAACGGGCTGGTTGCATGGGTGTTTTCGTGGTTTTCCCGATGTGTAACGTGTATATGAGACAGTTTCCCTTAGAAAGTCCTCCACGAAGGCATCCCTCCCTTTAGGCAGATAGCCCTTGTGTGCTTTGCCATACTTAAATAATCCAATCCAATCCTTATTTAAATATAATTGATTTGTAACTTCTACTAGAACTGACGTTAAGAATTGAAGTGCAAATAAATAATATCATGTGCAATCTTGATTAATATAAAATTAAAAATATTTGCACAGAAAAATATTTGCATTCAGACAGAAAGTTTTTTGAAATATTTGCAATTACTTTATAAGAAGGATATATTAATAACCGTAATAATTACTTATTATATTACTGATGATTAGGAATCAGTTCTTGACAATTACATTCTAAATTAGAATTTAAGAATTATTAGAATTTTAAATTAGAATAATGAAAATACGCTACGCACAAAAATACATTTTAGGATAATAAATGAGTTGATTTTTTGTTTTAAAACTTCTTGAATTCATTTAATAAACATTGTATCCTCGTTGTTAATTGAATTCAGAATGTTGGGTGTCGTTTATATAATTATTCTTACTTGTCCACGGAATCTGCTAACTTATCCAGCGTTTAAGTAGCTGCAGATCATTTCTACATAACCATTGAACTTCCATTAATTCAGTCTCTAGAGGGTTGTATATTTATATCATAATTTGACTTTTATAAAATGATTATTCTAATCTTATGTTTCTATAAAAATATAGTGTGCTTTAAAATATGGATGATAGTACCAGCCGCTCTTTTCAGCCACTTCAAAGCATCAGTTTGTTTAGAATAAATTGTGCAGTTAATGTCATAAAATTCAAATAAACATCAAATGAAAATTCTCAGTTTTAGACAATTCAATTTAAACGAAGTAAAGTAGCAGATGATAAAACGCTGAAGGTAAAAATTTACTCTTACAAAATTTACTTTATTAAAAAAAAAGAAAAAAAAAAAAAAAAAGATAGAGAGAAATTTTAAAAAATATTTAAAAAAATTTATTTAAAAAATAGCTTTTCATATAGTATTAATAAATATTTATTACGCATCATTGAGGGAAAAATGTCATATAATTAATTCTCCGTAAAATTTTACTTGAAATTTAAGGTTAAAAATAGCTGTGGCAATACAGTGTAACAAAAATCCATAGACCACATTTGGCGTTATCGCTCAAAAAAAAAGATGCCAAATTTCAAAATGCGAAAATATGTAAATTTGTGTATATCTTATAAAATTTTGAATAAAAAAGTCTAATTTTTTGCAGATATGCTTAAAAATATACCTACTTTAAGATGATGGTAAAAATTTTATAGGTTATAATTCAAAATTTTTTCGAAAAATTTATAAAAATTATTTAAAAATAGAAATTTAAAAAATAAAACACAAAAAATGGGTAAATTTTATTTGGAATGAACCTAAATTTCGAAATGTGAGAGAAAAAAATCAAAAATGTTTAATAAAAAAAGAGATATAAATAAATATTTGCCAAATTCAATTAACATTGAGGAGCTAAAATTTTGAGAGTTAATATTTCAAAAACTACTCGTACGATTTTTACAAAACTTGGTATTCTGGCATAATTTGAGTCGTAGAATCGAAATATGTAAAAATATTGGTATGTTATTTCAGGAAAAGTCCAATTTTGTGTCAAAATACCTATATTAGAATAGTGCTATATATAAATCTAATATATATCCTAAGTCGCGCTTTCGAGACATGAAGAACGCAATTTGAATTTCGTGAATCGCCCCAGTAGAACAGGAGATATAGCACTGTCCCATTTTTTTTTTTTTGAGCAGTGTACCTGACATTGAAAAAAAACAGTAATGAGAAGAGATGTTATATCAACAATATGTTGCCTCTTTGATCCATTAGGTTTAACTGGACCTATTATGGCAAAAGCTAAAATATTTCCACAAAAACTTTGGCTCTTAAAAATAAAATGGAACACACCTCTTCCAAAAAATAACTTTGAAGATTGGAAGGCATTTCTGCTAGGTCTTAGAACAAGCAATGAGTATTGCATCCTTAGATTTTTTTTTAAACAGTGGAGTTATAGCAAACAGAAGTAACAAGATTCTGCAATACTAGTCAGAAAGTCTATGGTGCTGCAATTTATTCAAAATATATTTCATCTTTGAATGACTTTTCATAAAGACATCTCTGCAGCAAGTCTCGTTTTTCACCCTTGAAGTCAATTATGTACTTAATTTGGAAATTTGTGATGTAGTTCTTTTGGTAAAACTAATGAAAAGAATATTAGATGCCATTCCACTACCCATAGACAAGGTATACTATTTCCCTGATTGATCAGTAGTGTTAGCATGGATTAAGAAGGAACCTCATCAACTAAAGACATATGTTGCTAATAAAGTGCCTGTGAATGGTTTATATGGTGGTATGGGCTAACATTCTGAACTAAGGAAGAACCGAAGCCTTGTGAAATAGTTTCTGATATGGCTGATGTGGAATACATTTTTGCATCTAATGATTCAGTGTGTCTAAAGGTGCAACAAAGAGAGTTTCGAAAACAACAACATTTATTTACAACAATATGTAACAAATTTAAATAATGCAGGATATATTATTAAGCAGCACTGTCTTCCACATCCAACACATTTAGTATCCAGCCTGCCACTGGCTAATAGAGAGTACACAGCGCCCTCTAGCCGAATGGCACGAGAAATATGCAACATATGTCAAGGAACTCAAACTTAAGGATAGTGACTTAGTTAATATAAATGTAAACTCCCTTGTTTGAGATCATATTCTTAATATTAGTAATAACTATGTTCCTCAAGACAGAAGGGAAACAAATTAAAACATAAAATTAGCAAAGCAACAAACTTGGGTCCTGTACCTGTTTGCCCCTGAAATCGATAGACTGTTGACTGAAATCTACACTAAACACAAGGTTGTTGCTTTGTTAACTATGTTTGTATTATATATGTATTAAGTTTTGTTTGCAGATTTAAAGTCAGTTGTAAAAGAAAAAAATTAATAGGCCCTCTAACTGTTAATTGCTAAATTACTTTTTAATTATCTGCCAATAATTTGCTACTTTTATTTGTCAATTTGAAAAAAAACCAATGTGCCTAATTATAATCCAAAAATAATATTGCTTATAAGGACAAATTTGACAATAAACATTCAAACAAAAGTTCAAAAATCCATAACTCGAATTAACTTGTTAAATCAGGTAGGACAACCATAGCATGTAAAAAAGACAATTTGTTTATAGAATCATATTTTATGTAATATTTGTAAACATTTTATATGGTTGTGATGCTGTGATATGCAACATTGCATGTCACATAAAGGAACATCCCAGTCCTTGCAATTGTACCTTGATTCCTTTTGAAACTTTTTCCATTCTGTGTGCACACATAACAAATTCCGTTGTAGGACATTTCTTAGCCGTTGCAGGGGCTATGGCTGTATGCCTTTGTAAAACAAAGGCTGATTGGGACCGCTGGCCCTGTTCTCTCCAGACACGAACATCGCTGAACACTATATGATGGCAGTTATGATGATCAGCTGCAAAACCACTCCAGACGACTCCGCCGATGTTGTGGGGTCAAAAGGTCAAATGTCTAAAAGGGAATGTACTGTGTGAGTGTAACCCCGCCTCAGACAAGTGCCTCGAGATGGTGGACGGTACCACGGGAGGTATAGATGTGGCTTTAGTGTGTTGAATAGTCGACAATGATACTGTTGGTGCGGCTAAGGTCTGGCGAACAATCATCCTATCTTTCCTCACATTTGTGCGCCTTGGCTTTCCAGAGCCTTCATTTCGGCAGCAATTTCCTTGTAACAACCATTGCTGCCAACATCTTTGCACAGTAGTGTCTGTATGCTGAAGGTGGCAGCCTATTACTCAGTATGACCACCCAGCTTCCTGCAATCCTACAATGCGATCACGTTCAAAGTTGTTTAGTTGTCCGTAAGGCCTTCAATATCGTCATAATGGCATCTTTAGTTGCCTCTTTACGGAATTACAATGGCAGGAACAAAAAAAGATAAATTTTCCGCCTCTGTTACTGGTTTTATACTTTGCAAATTGCACAATAGAAATGTGCGCTATGATCGCAATTCCAGCTCATTCGCCTTGAAACTTTGATCATTTGCATGTTCGATTAAGATGCTTTTGCATATCAAATTTCGTCATTATCGCTAAAGTCCTTCTTTGTGCTTCAATTATTTTGCAAAAGAGTGTATAATAGTACAATCAGTGTAAACATGATAGACTTAAGAAGACACTGCAAATGTATGTTTTTTTTAAAAATAGAAAGTACATACCATAATGTCTAAGTTTTCAGAAATCATCTGTCTATCAACATTTTTTCTTAGCAACCGCATCATGCCATGAAAGTAATCTTCAACTACATCACAAAGTAAATTTAGCATGTCTTTTGGAGCAGCTAGACATTTGAAGAATTGAAGATTATTATTAAAAACATAAAATGATAAAAATTTCTAAATCTTTGATATGGGAGATGATTCGAAGTATCAAATTTTATCAGCAAATAAATTAAATATAAAAATTCTTTTCCAAAAAATTCCTCTGAATATTTTTCTAACATCTTAACTATTTTTTAAATACACAGATTAAAGAAATTCTAGTAATTTTTCAAAAACTAAGAATTTTATGTATAAAATGCAAAACTAATAATTTCCAAAAGATTTTAGCATTCAGCCATTCATTCATTTTAAGATTTTTTTTTTTTTTTTTTTTTTTTTTAAATTTTTGCTAAAGGTTAAAAGTATGAATATCTCTGAATTGGCTTGCTGTGAGATTTTCACAAAATTTGGTATTTATGCATTATCTCACACATCGAATTAAATGAGGGAAAGGAATTGACATGTCATTTTGGAAAAAGTTTGATTTTGTGCCGCATCTTCAACAAATTAACAATGCAATTTAAATATTGCCGACTGGCCTACTGCAACAGGAAATACAGAACCCCCCCTCTTCAACACACCATACAACTACATGATTTCTTATAAAGTTTTTTCACCATCAGATACCCTTCAGAGCCTGCTTCAAAAGTAAAAAAGAAAAGCAAGATGTTTGCAAATTTTATAGTGGTTAAAAAAAAATTCCACATTACTCCATACTTTTATTAAAAAATAATGTTCTTTTATATTTTGTGTTAACTCCTGTTTAATAACTAAATAAAAGCATTAACTGTTCTTTCTCTTCCTGAAACTTTCATCTGTTTGTTTATGACAAGCAGATTACTTTTATATTATCCACAACACTTTTCTGTGATCTAAAATTTAAATTTAAAAAAAGAAGGAAAATCATTAACAGATATTTCAAACATAAACATGTAAATCTATAAAAACAGTACTTTAAGCCTCATAACTAATTGCTAATTTAATTATTATGTAACAGATTAATATATATAACTTAATAAAAATGCCAAATTATGTTTAGAAACCAACCATCATAACCAGCATGACAAAAAATGGCAGCAATACTTTTCAGCAATATTTTTCTCACTGCTTCATGAGATAACATTACAGGTTTCATTTCATGTGTTATGCCATCCCTGGAATAAATGACAAAGTTTTCAGTGCAAAGTTTACACAAAATATGGATAATATTAAAAAAATGTAAAACAAACACAAAATCCATGTAATAACAACTGTTAAACAATGCATTATAAAGTATATAAAATTCTAATTTTGAAACTCTTTAATGAAAGATCGATACTAACATGTTTTATAAAACAGGAGTGAATTAAACTGTCCCTAGAACTAGATAAATAGAAATGGCAGTTTTTACTTAAAAAAAAAAAAAAAAAGTACATTTTATAAAGTATTTAGAATTAAATTTTTAGTTACAATTTTATTGTTTTTATGCTATGGTAAACCTGTATTACAATAACAGAAATTTATGAGTTTCTACTGCTGATCTTATACTAATCTCAAATGGCTTTTCTTTCTTATTAACCTATTAGTTTCTTGGCACAGTCTGAAAGATGTCATAACACAGCAGAGTGTTTTGTTTACTGAAACAAACTAAAGGCCTACCAACACTTAGACAAATAATCCCATCAAGATACAAATAAACGTACATACTAATAAAGAGAATGCAGAATTTGAAAAATATTACCACACTAACAATCATTGATTCATGATTTCTTTCAGAAATGTCAAAAGTAAAATTACTTATACAAAGAGACAGGTTGAGGGCATGTATAAAATGAACATTTTTGTCATTTAAAACACTTCTGTAATCAGAAGTATAAATCTACGATCAACAACTGCGAACATAAAGGATGCCCTATTTTATTAATGGGACATCTTGTTGATACATTCTTATATATCAACTATAGCTGATGTCTGAAACTTTCTTTCAAATCAATCAAATCATGGTTTAATCAATGAAATCATGCTTTTAATTTTTTTTAAATTGACACTAATTATTATTAAAGTATTTTATTTCACTAACTGGTTCTTAATAAATATTTTCCAATGGAATTTCAAAATGAAAAACAGGATTATTACACACTGTCATTTTTATAACCTTTAAACAGTACACATACAAGGTTAGTAAAAATATGATACGTAATTTTATTGCAAAATAATATTCCATTTACTTAAATCAATGTTAAATTGTTTATTATCATTTGCATTCAAGATTTTATCAGTGATATATCAGGACAATATTTACACTGTGTTTACATTACATCATTTTATATTTGAAATGATATCATCTTAATGCTTATTTCAATGCTATATAAACATCTGGAACCTAAACCTAAAGTTCTGCATAGCTTTTCTTCCCATTTTTTGTTAAGGTATTGCAATCATTTCCTTCTAGGCAATATATGTAAGTCCATTGGTAGTTTCGTTGGATGTCTTCAAAGTTTTTCATTTTCAGGAAAAAAAAAAATGTATGGTCTAAAAAGTATACCAGCTGTATAACAGTCACCAGATGCAATCATTAAGCAATGCAAAAGGAGCTCTGTATGGACTTCCAAGGATGCTTTTGCTATATAGGGTCATAACACATTAATATAATAAATATATAATGAAAATGAAAATTGGCATACTATGCTCCTTTTGTTTCTGCAATAAAAATGCATATTATAGCCCTACTGTCTTTATTATTTCCATTTTATACTAGGCAGGATTTTCTGCTAAAAACTATTCCAGATAAATAATTTAGTTAGCCAAAAATATAATCCATTTCATAAAGAAATATAATATTAAAATATTCTTTAATTTTTAAATGTGGATCCTGGAAACATTATTTTAAATCTGTAACACTTGGTTATCACAGAATTCCAGAAGTAGATAGGAAGATAAAAATAATTTAAGTAGTTTAGTTTGTAATATATCAACACAGCTCAAGAACTTTGGAGATAATGCTTATGAAAATAACTCTTTTCAAATGTATTTTTACACAGTCTCAACATAGATATTAATTACAGAGCCTAAATAATTTAGACAGCATTTTACAATATATATATATAATGATAGTAAATTAAAATGTAAAAATCGGAATGAAAATTAAATAAAAATTCTGTTCCAGATACGAAGGTCTAAATACAGGTAGCCCTCCTACAACATGGTATCCTTTAACACGGTTTCGCTACAAACACGATTCATAAATTGCGAGAACCCTCCTACAACACGGTTTCGCTCTAACACGATAAGAAATTTGGCCAAGCAATCTGAAAAAATTTAACAACTCTGCATGAAATTTTTCCATATTGCACAAAGCATATATATAGTCATTTAACACATAAGAATTTTCATTTTGTAAGTTCTGCCAGCTGTCTTCCAAGATCCAGTACCCATAAGAACAAATTTCCTCAGATGACCCGTATGAACCAATGTCCCCAGATAACAATGAAAAAAACCTCACTAACGCAGAAGGTGAATAACGTGAGGTCACAATAAGAACTCTAAAATGCACGATCTGCAAATTCGACTTCCAAAATTCGAATCTTCGTCTCTGTGGCCTGAAAACAAAAGTGTCTCACACTGCTGGTCAGCAGTCTGCGCGAGCCATGGTGTGTTAAAGAATAACTTTTTCGTCTTTAAGACATTAAGTTTCAGCTCCCAAACATGTTCGATAAAGATAAAAAAACAATGTTTAAGAGGAAATTAATTTTTTCAGAAGTACAGATACAAATCTCGGACCGTCTTTTAAAAGGAGAAAAGGCATCTCACATTGGAAAAAGTTTTAAATGGAATGAAGAAACACTATTAAGAAAAATGAAAAAGAAATAAGAAGAAGTACAGTTGCTGCAGGACCTTCGACATCTGCAAAACGTGCAGTTCGCTCTCGGGGGCGCCAGTAATTGAGAAGATGGAAAAGGCACTTAGCATTTGGATTGATGATAGCTGTCAAAAAAGAATTTTGTTGGATGATAATATCATTAAACAAAAAGCACTAAAATTTTCAAGCACCTCAAAGAGCATGGTGCTGTCAACCCAGATTTTCTGGTAAGTAAAAATTGGTTCAAAAATTTCAAAAAGCGTTTTGCAGTTCATTGAATAAGAATTCAAGAAGAATCTGCAGCAGCTGATTATGAAGCTGCTAGGACGTTTCCTGAACAATTTCAAAATATTATAGAAGAACAGGGATACACAGCAGTTCAAGTTTTCGATGTCGACAAAACTGGGCTTTGGAGGGAAAAAATGCCCAGAAGAACCTTTATATATATATGTGAAAAGAACATACAGTTAGAATTTTAAGTGTATTCTTAACTATGGAATTTTATTACAAATATTCCCCCATCTGAAAAGGCTGAAGCCGGGCGCCTCGACACAAGACATTCAAATAGAAAAATTTTTAAATAATTGCTTAATTCATTTGAAGAACTCGCATCCAGAATTCGAGTTACAATAATATTAATCTTAATAAGAACACCTCACTATACACAGGTCAATAATATATCAATATATAATGTAAATAATATATCTTAATATATTGACATTTATAGAAATAAAGAAAAATAACATTTGCATGCAGTATTGGGAAACATTTCTCGAGAACAGTTTCAGTTTCTGGATCCAGGGTCTTTAGAGATTGCTGAAAACATTAGAGCAGTTCTTATTTTACAAATCTTTCATTTCTAGTTCGCGTGGCTTTAATATTAAAAATTTCTATTTGAGGTGAGGTATTCCTCTATTTTTTTCTTCATATCATTGACAATTGCAATACTTGACTAATTTCTTAACATTTCCTTTTGATTTTAGTTTGTTTACAGTATTTTATTTTGACAACTTATTCATATAAAAACTTTTTTTGATAACAAAATTTTACACAATAATTTTACTCGTATTTTACTTTTTACTATCGAGAATGATAATTACTTCATATATTGCATTGTCGTTCAACACAACTTTCAACTTCTATAGTATTTTATAATTACCATTAATGCCGTTGCCAAAAAATTAACACATAAATGCAAAATAAATGCAAAGATACAAAACAACACACCAAAAATTTACAACACAGAAAATTTGACATTAAATAATTAGAGGTGCTCTAATTACCTTTAGTAGCAAGTCTAATTACCTTTAGTAGCAGTTGAGCGTTTACCAAAAGGAAGGTGTGTTTACCTATTGGTGATGTAGTTTAAAATTTTCTGGGTCTTGGTAGTGTCGTAGTCTGGAAACATGGACAATATCAGTAGGCTTCTTTGTGTGGTAATTCTTTTTATCAATTTCATAATTAACCTCAGATAATTTTTTGACAATTTGGTATGGTCCAGAATAGGGGGTGTCAATTTACGTGTATTCGGAAATTCAAATTCATCAAATAAAACTAGATCACCAGGTTGAAAATCTACATCTGCAAATTTTGTTTCATAACGACTTTTATTCCTTTTATGATATTCAATAGTTCTCTCTTTAGCTAATTTTCTCGCTATGTCAACCGGAGGGTAAGTATTTTGATCTAGGGGAGAATCGAAAGGAAGTTTTCCGAGTAAAAGATATGCAGGGGTGAATTTAGTTACCGAATGAGGGGAATTATTATATTCACTAATAACTTGATCCAAAATTTTCGTCTATGGAATTTAGATGATGTAGATTTATTTACATCTTAAACGGGTTACTAGGGTTTGGATTCACACGCTCTACTTTACCATTTGTCTGGGGGCTGATGGGCAGTAGTTAGAAGTTGTTTTACATTATAATTTCTAAGAATATGTTCTTACTTGGCTGCTGAGTACACTATTTAATCCTGCTCGTTTGTGTGCGTTAAAAAAAACACAGCATAATGATTGAAATTCTTCAGCTCTTTCCAGCAGACGATATCAAATCATGCGATTCTAACTAAGAGATGCGCTCAAATTCAAGACAAAGCTGTATCACATTCACATTCTTCATTGTTAAAAAACAGACACAACTTGCACTTAAATTCTTCCTCTCCATTGAAATTACTCTTTGGGTACACCATCCTGTCAACTCCTTGATTGTACCAGCTTTGTCCAGAATAAGATTGGTGAAGAATCATAATGTAGTATAGCTTAAATTATCAGACAATAAGTTTAAAAACAGGATCCATTTATTATTATTCAGGAGA